TTGATTAATTAATTAAAGTGTTTAATTAATTATTAATTTTATTGGAGCTCGGGATTATAGGTCCATAAGTCCCCGCGTCGTCCTTGTAATTCTACCAGACACAAAGGACAAAATGGGAATCTTAGAATTATGGAATTCTAAAAATTAAATACTCAAAAAATAATTAATTTAGAATTAATTATTATTTAAATAATGTGATTATTTAAATTTGAATTTGAATCTTGAACATAACTTAAATTTAACTTTTTAAACTTATTTCATAAGTTGTTCAATTTAGAAATTATATTAATTTAAGTTTAACTTAAATTTGAATTTAAATTTGAATTTGAATTAAAATTGGACTACAAGATAAAGGATGATTTTCTCTTCCTTCCCTATCTGCAATTGGCGCCACACACAGGGATAGGAATCCCTAGCATGGCCGGCCACAATAGATAAGGTAGAGGAGAATTTTTTGCTCAAAATTCAAACAGGAGAGAGAGATTTGATTCCTTCTAGAAGTTGGACTTCTACTCTATAAATAAGGGATGATGAAAAATTGTGCGAGACAAATTTTTTTAACCTAATTATTTAGGGCTGGCCGAATTCCCTATAATAGAAAAAGAAGGAAAATTTTCTCCCAAAAAAATTCCACATCGTGCATGCATTGGTGTTTGTGAAAAATTTGAGTGTTTAATCAAACCCGTTTTAGTCTCGAGTGTACCCACACACACGTCTACGTGGAATCAAGGAATTGACGTGGAAGACTTTGGTTTTCTAAACACAAAGCTTGGAGCAAGGATTGTTCGAGGTCAAAGAATTCAAGTTATCATCCGAGTCGGCTCCAGGTATTTTTCCTAATTGAGTTCTTGACATATAAATTAATGTGATTAATTTATTCGTGCATAAATTAATATAATCTATAGAGTATCTCAAAAGTTTTATAAAAACTTTTGTTATACTTGATCCGTATCCCCGCCACGCTTCCGCATCCGAATTCGATTCGGTTACCAACAAGCAATGTATTTTATCGATGTGAAACTGTTTTGCAAGGAATGGTTTAACATGAACTACAACTATAAGAACGGTATTCTGAGGTCCATTGTTGATAGGGAGGCAGCAAAGTGCTACAATGACTGGAAAAGTTCCATGCACTGCCACTTCAAATGATATGGTAGAGAAAGTCTCCCAAGTAACATGAGGAATCAACTTCATTGGGATTGTTGTTGCGATAGGTTCTCCGGCGACAAATTTCAAGTAAATATAGATTTGTTAGAACTTGATGATTTTTTATACATAATTTCAAGTAACTATTACTTATTATAGTTAATCATAAACAGAAAATATCAGAGACAAATAAAACTAATCGTAGCAACCAAAAGTATCCAAGCTTACATGGCCGGGTATCGTACTCTCAGCATCGCAATAAGAAGGTTAGTACTTATTTTTTGACTTCATTATCGTATTTATATGTTTGTGATGATTGTTTTGGGTGACACATCTTGCAACTATGGTGTGCCGAAATCTTTTAAAATTATTTTCTTACAGGTTTTTATTTTTGGATCATATAAAAAATAAGTCGTTATGTTGCCGAAATTTAGTTAGAATTTATCCGTTTTAACAAATGTAATTTATTTGACAAGTCAGTACGGAGGCCCAAGAGCCGATGTTTGCCATAGACACTTAGGCGGACATGCATCGTCGCAGGGCCTCTTGGGTTAATCCCCAAGCGGAACAGACTTTTGTAAGTATTTTTACTTTTCATATTAAATTTTTTTATACTGAAATAGTGGTTTTATAACACGTAAAAATAATTATAATGTCTTATTATGTAGAACACCCTGGAGGAGGAGAGACAAACGTAGAGAACACAGTCTACTTCAAGCTCGACTAGATTTGACGAGCATGGGGTTTTGGAGCAAGTACTTGACATGCGTAGAGGACATAAGATAGGAGTGGGTCCGACGCTCTCCCAAAAGCATTACTCTGGGGCTTCTCCTTCATCTGTTGATTCATACTCGGACGCAACATCATCGGCTCAACCTAACCCACGTGTGAGTCGTTATTTAAAGAAATCGTACAGGGAACAAGTTAAGATTTATGAGAATCAGGTGAAGGTGTTAGAGTAGGTGGCTAAATTGCAGCCCAACATCCAATTACCTACGATTGATTGTCCATAACCAGTTAACCTAGAGTCTCTTCTGCCTCCTTCAGATGATGACAATTCTGATGATGATTCAGCTGTTGGCGATGCTGTAAACTTAGACGATTAGTTCCGTTATATGTACTATTTTATTTTTCACTTTATTTAGACTTTTATATTTTTTTGAACATTATATATGCACTTCATGTAGTATTCATAATATATTTTATAAATTTATTTAGATTTACTGTTTTTAATATTAATTTATATTTCACTTTTAATGTATCTTAATAAATTATATTCAGTATGTAACATAATAATGTTTAATTAAAATTATTAAAAATTAATTAATTGCCATTTTTTAAAAATTATAAAAAAAATTAATTTCGGTTTTTTTGCGACGACTTTTTTAGACTTGTCGTCACAAAAAATAGCATTATTTACGATGAAAATTTGAAATGTCGTCGCAAAAAATGATCATATCACGTGAATTTTACAACGGCGTATTAGCGACGCTTGTCGTCGCAAAAACATACTGTCATCGCAAATACATTTGTGACGACACTATGTCGTCGCAAAAAAGGTTTTTGCAATGAATTATTTGTGCCGACAAATTTGTGACGACACGTCGTCACAAAAAATCTTATTTGCGACGACATTCGGGTTTTTGCGACGACTTTTTGTCGTCGCAAAAATCCTTTTTTCTTGTAGTGATGGAAGAAGCCATAGGGAGGGTTGAGTTAACTCAAAATTTTGAACTAAATTAAATTAGTAGTGTAATATACTAAAAAACTCATAAACTTAGGTAGTATTGTATGAGAATTATTATTTTTTAGAGTTTTAAATTTGAAAAGAGTGAATATAAGAAAAAATAAATAAAACAGTATGGTAATTAAAAGTAAAAACTAAGGGGTAAATGAAACTTTTTGAAAACATTTTACATGAGGTTTGAAATAAAAAATATATATACATATATATTTTCATGGTGGGAATTAATTTATGGTTGCCATTACTTGGAACCAATAATATTGGGAAGGATAAAATCATTTTGGTACTTTGTATTATAGCGAAACATGCTCTTGATATCCTGTGTTTTTTATAATATTAAAATAATACCTTGACATTTTTAAAAATATATTCTCGGTATTCTGAAGCTAATTTTTAGGACATGTAATGTCCAAACTATTCTTCTTATTAATTAAATAAAAATCAATATTTTTTAGAAAAAATATGAAAATATTTTAAATCATTAAAATATTTAAAAGAAAACAACAAAATAAAAAAGCTCGTGATTTGTTTTAGATCTATTAGTTTTTTATTAATTAAATAGAATGATACTAAGGTCATTTTACATCTCAAAAATCAACTTCAGGGTACTAAAAATGTTTTTAAAATGTCGACGCACCACTTTAATATTATAAAAAAAAATCAGAGAAATAATAATATGTTTCACTATAACACTGAATACCAAAATAATTTTATCCCATATTGAGAAATAAGAAAAAAAAATCTCAAATTAAGAGTGGTAATCATATCATATCATATCATATCATATATATATATATGTGTGTGTGTGTGTGTGTGGAAAGGAAATGACATTAATTAAGTTACAGGCAATTAATAAGAGTATGTAACATAAATGAAAATGTGCTCTCTTTAAGTATAAAACAAATCTACATTTATACACACACACACAAAACGCAATATCAGCAAAACAAATGGAGAGCTTTAAATATATCTAGTACTTTTAGTACATATTTTTTATTCAATGCAACCACTCATCTAAACTAATAGGGACTCAAGTCAAGTGTCGTTTGATGCATATTTTTCAGGCGCCCATGCAATATTGGCAATATGGCCACAACAATAACATGGTTTCTGGAGATCATAATACCGGCAATAACAATATGGTCATCAACAATACCGGTGGACCAAACAACAATTACTTTGGAAGATTCAACCAAACTGGGATTAATATGGGGCAGATTACTAAAAGGACAGGAGCTGAAGCAGACCAAATATTATCATCAATGGAGCCACAAATGCCCTCACTTCCTAATAGTTCCAGTTTCAATGCCATCATGAATAATAGATCAAGTGCATTTTCTCCGGTGCCATGGATACAGCTAAATGACTACAATAACATCTTCCTCAACCCCAATACTACTGGTACTATAATGAACAATGTTAATGGTACTAGAAGGAAGAATATAATTAATGGAATGAAAAGAAAGCGCGGTGACGACGGTGATGATCAGATGCTGCAGGCACAGGCTGAGGCATTTGTATTTGATTTTGGTGAAGAAGAAGAAGTAGATCAGGATCATGATGTTGTGGAGATTGATGACGGTGATGATGCAAACAAGTGCTGCTCTAACATTTACTGCCGCACTCAGACCACACCCATGTGGCGGAGAGGTCCTCTCGGTCCTAAGGTTTATTTCTCACTATTTTTTTTTTTAATTTTTAAAGAATTATATTACCTTTTTATTTCTTTTTTCCTTTCCGGAGATTGATAGAGAGTCACGGGGATTGTGACGGAGTCAGAATATTTTTTTCCAGTAGAAGTCTAATATAAAAAATATAAAAGATATATTTTTTTTTTATTGAATGAGGACGTAGTTATAAGTTTCTCTTGCAATCGTCTTTTCTTTTTCTTTTTTTTTTTTATTAACTAATGAGAGGTAAAATTGAAATTTTGTGAAAAATTTACACACAAAAGCCCGTTCACTTCGCTGATTCGAGTTTAGAATTCAAGTTTTTCTACAATAAAAAGTTCTCACAAACAATCACATCTAACTTTTTTACTACAGTAAAAAACTCTCACATAAAGTCATATCTTAACTTGAATTCTAAACTCGAAGCAAAGTGAACGGGGCTAAAATGTTTGACTTTTAAACTCTCACTGCTTACATAATTTAATATCAGGATAGAGGATAGTTTATTACTCAAATAAATCCTAGAAAATAAAGCGCATATACATACATATATATATATATATATATAGCACTCAAAAATTTAACAAAATAATTTTTTAATATGCTTAATACGTTGTCAAGGAGACGCCGCCAAATCACGGTACGCAGTATCTTTTTGCTTAAATTCGTATTTTTTTTCTTCACAAAATCTCTCATGGCTGATTTTTGTTATATGTTTTAGAGCTTGTGTAACGCCTGTGGAATAAAGTACGGTAAGCAAGAAGGGATCTGGAGGGCTCTCGAGATTGCTGCGGCAAAGGCAAGAAACAGTTCTGGTACCAGCAACGTCAACTATCTGCAGTAATATATACTTTCATTACTTCGATTTCTTCCATTAATTATCTATTTCTTGATATTTGCAATTTTGTGAGTCTAATTTTAGCAGAATTTGAATTTGGATGTTTGTCGCCTAAGAACGACATGTTCCATGCCGTTTGACATGAAAGATGTCTTTTCTTGTCTAACTTGACATTTTTGTTGCTGTTCGCTTTATATATGAATCAGATAGCTGGGCTGGCCTGGTTCTAGATCCAAGAGCAGCTGAGGAGGTGGGCTGGCTCTAAAGCCCAAGGGGAGGAGACTCAAGCGGATACGACCTGAGGAGACTCAAGTAGATACGACCTTGAAAGAGCGTCGTTTTGAGGAAGGCATCAGCAAAGGGGTTGAAGAAGCAGCAAAGCCTCGGAAGGTGCCTCGCAAGTTCAACGACTTCGTGGTGGCATGATTCCATCGCGCGAATAGTGGATCTCTCCAACTGATTTCTGTTATTTCCATTTCCATTTATCGTTTATTTTCATTTTGCTGTTTCGAGAGGAATTCAGGAGAGAGTAGTATAAAGGGGAAATTACTTTACAATGGGAAAGGTATGTAAGAAGAAGATTTATCTGTTAGCTTGGAGTTTAGCACTGACACGAAGAGTGCCCATCAATACAATTACCAATTTTGTATCAAAATCAGATACTATTGAAACTAAAAAGGACATCAAAAATGTCCATGTGGTGAATTGAAATTGTCTTGTCATTTAAATTTAGAGTGATTTACAATTTCAACAAAATATATTGGCGGTGAAGTATCAAACGACATGTCGTTAATGCTTGTCTATGATGTCGTTTGAGTTGTAAACGATATATTGTTTATAGAGTGAAATTTTATTGTCGTTTCTCTGAAAACTACGGCTCTATTAGCTTCATTTGTTTAAATCATAACTCAAGCTTTTATTACAGCATTTTTACTCATAAAAAATCAAATTCAACTTTTACTGTTGCAATATTTTCTCTTACATGAATTCATTTTTTAACTTGAGTTATCAACTCGAACGAGTGAAACAAATGAGACCTACATATCGTTTGTCTCATAAATTTACCTTTGCTGAAAATGTTCATTAATTAGTCCAGTATTGTAACACTCTGAAGAATTAAACAAGATTAATTGAGGTAATTGAGATTTATTAGTGTGTCTAATCTAGTTTAATTAATTAATTATTGATTAATAAATGTTTATGACGTGAAAGTTGAATAATTCTAAGGTATTTAAATATTCTTAGTATTTATATTTTTACCCAGAAGTGTGTATGGGCACATTTCTGGACTGTCATTTTAAATATTTGGACACTCATTTTTCTTTTTCTTTTCCTTTTTCTTTCCTTCCTTTTTCCTTCTTTCCCGTGCATTGCCCATTCTCACTCTCTCTCTCTTCACTCTCATTCTCTCTCTCTCTCTCCCGTTTTGATTCAAACAACCAAATCTCAAACCAAAGAGAAAAATTTTAAGAAGTTTTCAACATCAAGAGAATGATTTAAAGTAAGATTTCTGAAAAACCTCTCTTGATTCTTGGATTTTCGGATTTAGAAACCCTATTTTGGTTCGGAATGAATTTTGAGTAAAACCATAGTAGAAATTAGAGATATTGGATTCTTTGGACTTGATTTAGTACCTAGAACCCAGATCTAGTGGTTTTCCTTTGAGATATTTCATATTTGAACTCGGATTTGCAGGTTTTGCGTTGATTTTCTTCGGATCGGCCATGTTGGCCATCCTGCCCTGATTCCACTGGTCGACCGGTCTGCACTACATTGGTCGACCTGTGCGGTCGACCGAATTGCACACCACCGGTTGATCGATGGTGTTGCACTGCTCTGTCACCGGTCGACCGGTGTACACTGGGTTTGACCATGTTTTGTTGAAAAACCTTGTTTTGTCCTCAGTTTTCGAGGAGGACCCAAATTAGCTTCATTTGGGGACCTACAGTGAATGGATTAGCCTCTTTAATCCATGTTTTGAGATTGAAAACCCTTGGAATGATGATTTGAAACATGAAATGGTTTCTGAAACCGGTAATTGAATTATGGCACACTAATAGGAAATCGAATGGTATAATTGAGATTGAAATTGCTTTAGGAATGTGAATTGGATCCTAAAGCGTGGTTTTGTATCAGTGCTAGTTGAGGACTTGGATTGAGAGGCTTGAGGAAGCAAAAGCCGGAATAGTGTAACGCTAGCCAGGTTTGGTACTTGTGAGGTAGGATTTCTTACCATTTCCTTTGTGAGCCTGTTTTCAAAAGGATTTTGGCATTGCAAATGTTTTAAAGAAAGGGCATGTTTGCAAAAGAAAAACATTTTAACCCCCATGGCTTGTTGTAGATTTTGGAGAGTATAATGAACTGTTTCATAAAGTTTAATGAATGATTTCTTAGGATAAGAGATCTTGCAAATCGGTAAACCGGCTGATGGCCTAGATAGGATGTGGAGAGTGCATCCTTGGGGACAGGACCCGAAACCCGGCCTGGGGTGATATGGCTTATGCATTTGGTTGTGTAAGTAATTTATCATAGTATAAATTACTTGCTGATGCCTGTAATACGGAGATTTTCAGTTATATTTCTTTTGAGAAAAAAGATGTGAGGTTCCGGCTGTTGTGTTGGAACTAAATCTCTTATTTATTCATTTATCTATTTATTTACTTGTTTATTTATTTAGTTATTTGTTTATATAGCTATTTCAAAATATATCCTACTAGCTTTTCACTCACGTTTTAATGTTTTATAAATATTAACCCCTCCCAGGCAACTCTAGGAGTAGTGCGGAGTAGCTGAGTTAGTTGCTACCAGCTGATTTGGTGAGGATTGAGATCATCCTCCCTGTGTACGAATGTAAGAATTGTAACTTCTGTAAACTCTGATATTTAGATTTCTAGACTGTGGTTGATGTCTATAATGTTATTTACATGTTCATGTATGTACAATGCTGCATATCCTGTGGATAGATCCTGTAGGTGTAGCCCTAAACAGAGTTAGAGGCGGGAGTTTTAGCCTCTTGAGGTGTTCTTGTAATTTATTTTCGGTAAAATAGTGGGGCTCGTTTGAGAATTTGAGCATCCACGTCACCGACCGCGGCTTTAGGGCTTAACAAGTATCTTCTTAAATTACATAATAATAAGAAAAGTCAAATGTGTCCTTTTATGTAGGGAGAATGAAACTACATGCTGCATAATTATACTTCACCAATAGCATGCCAACTTATGTTTGACTTTTCTTTCTCCCAAATAGAGATGGCAATAGGGCTGATTTGGGGTGGGGTGGCCTTTTTGCCAACCCATTCAACGAACAAAAACATAATCCTTCTTATGAACCAGCATAAGTTGACAGGTTATGGGATGGATTTTCTTGCCACGGGTTGAGAGTATTCGCGGTATTCTATTTACCCGATTAGTTATTTTTATTGTAAAATAAATAAATGATTAATTAAATAATACAACCATGCAAAACATTAAGTTAAAAATAAAAGAAATGTAGTTTTAAATTTCATATGTATTATATAATAGATTGCATTAAAAGTATATATTATAGCATGATTAGTGCATAAAAATGCACCCTAAATACTGCTTTTGACTTATATATAATATTAAAATATTTAAGTTTTAATTAAACAATTCAATTATTTTTATTCAGAATATTTTTAATTAGAATTTATCTAGTTTTTTGTTTAATTATTTACAGATGAAAGCAGTGTAAAAATCTATATAAGAAGAAGCCATGAAAGCCATATTTTCAGCCAATTTCAGTCAGCCAAAATTAAGCCACACGAGCCGATTGGAGAGGGAGAGCCGCGTCAGCCCATTGAGCCATCAAGCCGAGCCGCCGCATGGTGCCCAGCTCTCTCCCACATCCCCCCAGCTCTCTATGTGTGTGTTACCAGCACATCCTAACCATCAAGGCGCGTTTCTTTGACGAGCAACCTACAGTGCGTTTCAATCTGTTTCAGTGTGGGTCCCGCATGACAGCTGCCAGCCTGCCTTCTTCTCCACGTGTGCTAGCTGTTCTCCGCAGACCCCACCTTTTTTTTCTGCCAACGCCCTACTTCCTCTCCGCGCGCGACACGTGGAATTGAATCCACTTCCTCCAACCAAGCTTTGACACGTGTCCTTAAGGGTGCTGAATCCAGATTTCTTCTCCCCGAGTTGCCATATTTCTTCCCCAAATCAAATATATGATTTCTCCAAATTTATAGGTAATTTTATTTTGTTTCCTTTTCTTTTGTAATTTCTATTTTTATTATTTATTTCCTTATTTGATAGGCAACTTCTAAACACTATAAATAAGAGGGTTAGCCTAAGGTTTTCAGAAGCTTTTATTATTCAGTTTTCTGTCGTCTTGCTGTCAGTCTCATATTTTCTCTCTAGAACTTGTGAGAATGTTTTGCAAGTTAGGCTAGAGTTCTCTTGGTGAGGTTAGAGATGAACTTTTGTTGAGTGACCCAATTCGGGCTTTTGATTCCTTGTGCTGTAAAATTCAATATCTGAACGAATTAAATCTCATCTATCTTTCATTTATTTTTCAAAATATTGTGTGCTAATTTTTATATAAGTTCAGTCACGCTTTTCTTATGTAATTCTGTCATGCATTGTTTTGTTATTCAAATTATTTTACAAATTGTCTTTTACTGCAATATTGTCAAATTGATATATTGTCGATTTTAGATAACTTGTAATGATAATATTTTCGGAGTCAACATAGAGATTTAATTTACTCGATTCTTTTATTTTGTTAATCAAAACTTGAATTGGTGAACGAAACATTAGGGATTCTCGACACCTTACCCTTTTTACTACTGAATTTCCTCCATACAAATCTTTTTCTTTTTATTTTATTTGCAACAAAAATCTCAAAAACTCTTCTTTTTCTTTAATTTACTTGTTATTTATTTTTCTCTAACGCTCTTATTCTGTTCTTTCTTGTTTATTTTGTTATTTTTCTGTGGATACAACCGCTATTTTGTGCTACAATTGACCGCTTGTAAACATCACTTT